GACCAAACGTCAGGCATCGTGCAAGAGCTCGTCGGCCACGGAGAAGCGAAACAGCGGCAAAGCGGACGCAAATTGGTGGGAATACTTTTTGGTCGGCGGCCGCGCGACAACGGTCTGGCGGCGAGAGGCAAAGTCCGGGGCGTGCGGCACGATGCGAATTGGCGAACACCGCCGCCACGCTGGCAAGCCGGTTCGCACCTGCACAACAAGGGCGCAGTTGCACATGCACAGAACAAAATGAACTAAATTCTCAAGCACACGCACATAGGCGCCGCAGTGTGAACCGAGGTGGACAAGCGGCAGAGTGTGCGAATCAGAAGGAAAACTGGGGGCTGTACAGGCGAAGCAGGCTGAACCACACGGCGCCCAGACCTCATCAATCCGCCTCCCAGTGCCAGGTGAAGCCACGCGGCTGTGCCCAAGGCGCAGCTGCGATGCCGATCCCTGAAGCGAAGAGGTCCGCAGGCGTGGGGAGCACCGCCGTCGAGTGGTGAAGCGCCTGCGCAGCCTGCCAGGGGGGGTCCTGCTGCAGTGGAGGCAAGTGGGAGGCCGGTGGAGTGAGTCGCCTGTAGGGCGCCAGACTCCGAACGCCCGCGACGACGTCTGCAGTCCAAGCAGCTGTCGCGGAACTGGTGCGGCGCACTGGCCGGCAGTTGGTGGGAGCCTGGGTGCTGTCCTGCTGCGGAAGGCTGAACCACTCCGTGGCGACCCAACACCCGAGTGACCACTCCACAGGGCAAGGGCGGAACAAGCGACTGTGGGCCACGCAGCGCGTGCCGGCACGGCGCCAGGCCTCAGAGAGGGGGGGAGGGCCCGCAGGCGGGGACGCACCGCCAGCGGAGGAGTGAGGTGGGGGGCGGCGCTGGTGGTAGTGCTGCCTCCTGTGGTGTCAGAGGCGAGGCGCCTGGGGGAGCTGCACTGTGGAGGACACGTGGGCCAGGAGGCAAGCCAGGCCCAGTCCGCCGGTAAGCACTGTCCCCCAGACCCGAGACCCACCACACACCACGAGGTCCTCCAGGGCCGAAGCACACTCCGCAGAGAGTGGGAGCCAGACCACGAAGCGCGGAACACGAGTGGCCCTGGGAGGGGGGGCAACCACCCCGACGTCTGATAGCACGTCTGGCAGGCCCCGAGGCCGAGGGCGGGGGACACCCGCCAGGCCCGAGAGGGGAGAGGCGAGGAGAAGCACCGCCACACCCCTCGGCCAGGCCCCGAATCCGAGGGCTAGGGGCCTTGGTCATCTCCTGGGTCATTCTCGGGGGTCGGATCGCAGCTACTATCCGCAAGCACCTGCGTGGAAGAAAGGGGGAGTCGCAGCTAACCGCCGCTAGGATACATTTTACATCGATGGGTGCAGCTACTCGCAGCTGAGGTATCTGTTGAATCCGCAAAGCACCATTTACATAGTGTGAGCCAGCAGACTGTGTCTGCGAGAGCCCCATCTATGATTGGACATCGACCTTTCGTTGACACGGGGGGCGCAGCTAAACCGCCGAGGGATATCGATAGTACCCCACAAATTGATTCATCTCAATAAGTCAGTGAGAGATGGGAGTAAGAGATGTAGGAAAGAAACCTGTAATGCGTTCACAGCGAAGAGGAATCACGCGTGGGTTCTCATCGACACCACGCAAACGTGGCCGAGACAACCATCGAAACCATCGAGCCATGCATTCCTCTTGGGCTCAAATTGGACTCCGAGTGGGGTCTTGTTGTGATCTTATTGGGCTTTGGGATCTTGGTGGGATCCCGCACTGAGGGCTCTGGGGGCGGGATATCACTTCCAGGGGGCGAGAGGCGAGAGAGTTTCACCGAAACGGGCGGGGGAGCCTGAATTGCCTCCAACGTCCATTCAGATCCAACGAGGCCCACTAGAAAATCACGGAATCCTGCCTCTGTGAAACTGGCCTCCCCTGAGTTTTTCCCTACCTAGGCTCTGCCTAGAGGGTTCGTACTCGCTTGGCTTAAAGGGGCCGGGCAGTGGGCTTCGCCCCGGGCGGTTCCCCCGGTCCCCGCCCCGCGGTTCTCCCAGTTGCGCCCCCTTACCTTAGCTTTGCGCATCTCATCTTAGCTTAGCTTAGCTTAGCTTAGCTTCATATTAGCTTCGCTTTGCTTGTAGCTTAGCTTAGCTTAACTTAGCTTAGCTTAGCATAACATAGCATAGCCCTGCATAGCATAGCATAGCGCAGCATAGCATAGCATAGCATAGCATAGCGCAGCATAGCACAGCATAGCATAGCATAGCGCAGCATAGCATAGCATACCATAGCCTAGCATAACATAGCGCAGCCTAGCGTAGCACAGCATAGCGCAGCATAGCATAGTATAGCATAGCATAGCATAGCATAGCATCGTGCAGCATAGCATAGCATAGCATAGCATAGCATAGCAGCAAAGTAAAGGCAAGGTGACAGCAGCAACAGCAAAGCAAAGCACAAGCAACGCAAAGCAAAGCAAAGCAAAAGCAACAGCAAAGCAAAGGAAAGGCAAAACAAAAGCAATGTGCAACAGTACGATCAGAGAGACCACCCGGTGAGCGAATGCAAAAACATGCGTGTGCGTGTGCGAAGGCAAAGCAAAAGCAAAACCCAGCAAAAGCAAACACAAGAAAAGGTAAAGGCAACTACGACGATGTGGAGAAGGAGGAGGACGGCGTTTACCGTTACTACTAATGCTGTTTTCCTAGGGGCTCCAACTCCTAGGTAGGGTCGCACTGGGGTATTTTTTTGAAACGGGCGACAGCAGAGGGGTGCGGCCCGCTGCTCGTGACGAACGGACGACACGCGCTCACACATGGGGGGGGGGGGGGGCTGACCCGCGCCTCGCGGTTGGAGGCTGCACTGCAGCTATGGGCAAGGGCTGTCGGACTCCGATCCAAGGGCCCCCGTTCGAGCCGAGACCCAATCCGACCACACGAACCCCCCGAGGAGCATGCAGGTCGCATGGGCACGGGTGCCAGCTGTCCGCGGCCACGCGCGCAGGCTGCAGCCGCGGCCCGCCCCGGGGCTCGGCCGAGCCCCGCCGAGCCCCGTCGCGCCCCGAGAGGCGCGCGGGGCACGGTCGGCGGGGACGGGCGACGGCGGAGGGGCGTGGCCCGCTGCTGGGGCCCGGGAGGCCCACGTCAGAGATTCCCGAAGTTGGTTGCCGGAAAAGTAGAAGCCTCCCAGATGGGCTCAGAGCACATGGGGTCGGACGATCGCCCCGCCTCGTCGATGCAGCGCCACTGCGTCGTCGATGCGTCGCTCGTGCGTCGCCGATGCATCACCGACGCATCGGCGATGCATCGGCGACGTCGGCGTGGAGAACATCGGCCTCCACATCGGGTGATCCTTCGACCCCGTCTACTCCGACCCCATCTGGGAGGCCCAGAAAGATGTTCGCGTTCTTGCTCGTTCCGGCTTTCGAGAGGCAGCGACATGGGGGGGCTGGCATAGGGGGTGACGCAGGGACCTGGAATGGAATCGGCGGTACATCGCCGCCAGATCGGCGATGGGCCCCCGACTGTGGATCCGCACGTTCCTGGGCAGGTCGAGGGGCTCCCGCGCGTGACCGCCTTCCCCCCCCCAGTGGCCCTGGAGGCCCGCAGGAGCACGAACGCTGCCTCTTGGAAGCTTACTCGAGCCCATGTCTTGGGGTATCTTTGCGAAGCCTCCAGGGGCCTGCTGACGGCATTTTCGGGGACCCCTTGGGGGCGTCTGGGGCCCTCTTTGGTTGTTTTCTCTGCAGGCGCGATGACAAGGTGGCAGGGGCACGAGGCGGTCTAACAGTTCGGCCACCCCGAGCCAAGATCTGGTGTACAAGCGAATAGCCACAGGTCGGCGTGGAAAATACGCCGACCTGCTGCGTGCAACAACGCGCAAGTCTTTGGGGAAGGTCGTGGAAGCACGCCGTTCTCAACGAGAGTGCGACTCCTCGGTTACCCTCCCTCGTGCAGCTGCTCAGTGGCAGCCTGCTCAGAACTCGTCGCCGTAGCCCTCTTCCTCGCCCTCGCCCTCTGCGGTCTCGATGCCCACCTCCTCGTAGTCCTTCTCCAGCGCCGCCAGGTCCTCGCGAGCCTCGGAGAACTCGCCCTCCTCCATGCCCTCGCCCACATACCAGTGCACGAACGCGCGCTTCGAGTACATGAGGTCGAACTTGTGGTCGATGCGCGAGAAGACCTCTGCGATGGCAGTGGAGTTGCTGATCATGCAGCAGGCGCGCATGACTTTGGCAAGGTCGCCACCAGGGACCACTGTGGGAGGCTGATAGTTGATGCCGCACTTGAAACCCGTGGGGCACCAATCCACGAATTGAATGGTGCGCTTGGTCTTTATAGTAGCTACCGCAGCGTTCACATCTTTGGGCACTACGTCTCCGCGGTACATCATACAGCATGCCATATACTTACCATGACGAGGGTCGCACTTCACGAACATGGATGCGGGCTCGAAGACGGACATGGTGATCTCCGCCACTGACAGCTGTTCATGGTACGCCTTCTCCGCAGAGATCACGGGTGCATAGCTGGAGAGCATGAAGTGGATGCGTGGGTAGGGCACCAAGTTCGTCTGGAACTCGGTGATGTCCACGTTCAGAGCACCGTCGAAGCGCAACGACGCAGTCAGCGAGGAGATGATCTGCGCCAGCAGCCTGTTCAGGTTGGTGTAAGTAGGGCGCTCGATGTCAAGGTTGCGGCGGCATATATCGTACAATGCCTCGTTGTCATACATGGGGAAAACCAAGCCAGCGAAACTGGCCTCAGCATGCCGCGGCACGCTGGTGGCTTGTTTGACGGCACAAGCCTAAGCCGGGTGGAATTTCTGCCTCAACCTGCAGGCCGGCTGAAAATGCTCAGCCCTCCAGCTGCCTCCTCCTCCTCCACCTCCTCCAAATCCCCGCCGCCTCGCCCTCCTCCTCTTCCTCCTCCTCCCCAGGCGCCCAAGTTGACCGCCTCGCCCTCCTCCTCCTCCTCCTCTTCCTCCTCCTCCTCTCACTGCCACTGCCTTTACCTCTCTGCCTGTTCAGGCATTTTCCTCCATCCTCATCATCTGCCACGTTCCGCCAAGGCTGGGCCTGCCTCCGCGGTAGCGGTCCTCGACGAGGCTCTGGCGCACGCCAGCCATGTACTCGAGCTGCTTCCGCCATGCCCGGCGGGCGTCTGCGCCCTGGAGCGCCTCCTCCGGCCATCCCATCCGTCTGGCCAGCGCGCTCCGCGGCGTGGCAATACCTCTCCTCCTGCCGGCCCACCTGTCGCAGCGCCACCAATGGTGGACCACGTCTGGCACCTCGCCGCTCGGGCAATCGCTGCACGGGCGCGGCTCTCTGCCCATCGCCACATCCAGCCTGGCATCGCTCCACATGGCCCCGGTGAGCACGGCCAGCGCATGGCTGCCAAGCGCGCCTGACTGCAGCACTTCCGTCGCGACGTGGAAGGCTCTTTCATCGAAGGCGACGCCTTCCTCCACAGCTAATCTGCTGTCACGTCTCGTCGCCCCTTGGGCCTTGAAGGCGTCCCAGCGCTCCTGCCGCCAGGCCTCGCGGAGCACGTGCGCCGCTCTGCCCCTGCGGTCGTCGATGCGCAAGTGCCTGTCGCCATGCTTCCAATCGCCCGTGTGGGTGTCCCTGTGGAACCCCATTGCCTCTAGGTGTCGCTGCAGGCAGCGCGTCGGGCCGCAACTGTCCGTCACCTCCACCAGCCTCTGCCATGCCAGCTCCTCCTCCGTGCCCTGCCTCCTCCTCCTGGCCTGGTGGAAGGCCCAACATCTGTCCGCCAGGTGGTACCGCAGGTCGCCGTAGTGGCCCACCGCTAGGAGATGCAGGAGCTCCACCGAAGCAGAGGGCCACCTCCTGCCGCACACTGCTCTCCTCACCTCCCGTCGCACCTCCATCAGTTGCGCCTCCTGCGGCAGGGCCGTGACGAGCCCCCACGCCATCAGGGGCATGGCTGCCGTCGCCACCGCGCGCCTCCTTGCCCGCCAGCCCAGCGGTAGCTTGGCAATCCTCTGCAGCCTCTCAATGCCTGCCTTGAGTTTCCCCATCTCCCTGGGCGTTAGCTCCCTTTCGTCGAAGGAGAAGTCGACACCGAGAACCTTGAAGCTGCTTCCGGCGCCTCCCCCTGTCCCTGTTCCCCCTCGTCCTCCTCCTCTACCTCCTCTGCCTCGCCGCCCAGCTCTTCCTTGCGAAGCGCCGGTACGCCCTCGGCTTCCACCTCTGTCGGCGCCGCGGTCCTCGCCGGCGTCGCGCACGTCCGCGGAGACGACGAACCGCTGGGTCTTGCCCGGGTGCGTCCGCAGCGCCGTAAGCTGCTCCAGCTCCCCCCAATGCCGTTCCACCTCCTGCATGTCCTCCAGGCTCCTCGTGCAGGCCGTGCGGTCGTCGGCGTACACGCAGCACGTGGCCGTCGCCACCCTCCGTTTCATGCGGCGCGTCGGCGGCATGAGCACGGTGGCCATGCCAAGCATGCTGGCAGGGTCTCCTTGCGGCAACGACCGTGAAACCGCGATGGGCTCACTAGCGACCAGGCCGGCACTCTCAATCCACCGCTCCTGGTTGCACCATATGTCCACGATGCCATCCACGATGCCATGGGGCACACCACACTCTTTCCAGATGCGTCCTACAATCACTGGATCCGTCCTGTCGAAGGCGCTCTCGAAGTCCCAGGAGGAGCCGTAGAGGGCGCCCTTCTTGCTGTCCACTCTCTGCTTGTCGTCTTCGCTCAGGAGGTCGTACGCAGGGGTGCCCGCGATCCTGTTGGCGACCATCGTTTGTTCGACCTCCGTCAGCGTGCCCTCCAGGAGCCCCTCGAGCGTTCTCTGGCGCAGGCCGCCAGCTTGGTCCGCCTCGAAAGCCGGCTCCAGGAACTCTGCGATCTGCTCTGCTCGGTGTTTGTGCCACATTCTTACCACCGTGCTGGCGATGGCGATGGGCCTCATGCGGTCCACTTTCGGGATGCTGTCGCTCTCCTTCGGGATGTGGGTCTGCCTCCACCTCTTGAGGCTCGGGGGCCAGCCTCCCGCCTCGAAGCCAAGGCACAGATCCACCAGGTCATCGTAAGCAAGGTCTGGCAGGAGGAGCAGCTCGCTCGCTAACCACTGGTCTTGGCCAGCCGCGGTGCCTGCCATCGTCCTCAAAAGCCGCCGCACGCTGCCTGCTGATGGGGCTCCCCAGCGCAAATCACTGTGGCCGAGCATTGCGTAGATGTGCTGACGATGGCGATCCTCCTGCGCCACCGCCTGCTGGATTTTCTCCTTCGCCTCCTCCACCTCCTCTGCGTAGTGCAGCATGTACTCCTCGGGCTGGTTCCCAGACCCTGCGCTACTGAAGTGGCCGTGATAAAAACTACGGAGCTTCTCCACCGCAGCTTGCCCCGAATACTGTCTCTGCTCGGTCGCGTCGTACACGGCGGCTCCACAGCTCTGCGCCGGATTCCTGATCCATTTGTACGTCCGCTTCCGCATGTTGTCCTCACGTATACTCTCGCGCCACACTTTGATCCTTTCGTCCCTGCTGACCTCCACTGCTTCCCGCAGTTTCCTGTGCAGGTCCTGTGCGTCATCTGGTCCAACGGCCCGCGGCAGCCCAAGTTTCCGCCGAAGGTACGCCCTCTTTCGCGATAGCGCCTGGGTCGCTCCGTCACGCACACGCGGCCCCCTTCGCTCCTGCACGGCTTCCGACACGGCGATGAGTTCCCTCAGCTGCCTCTCGCGCCGCGCCTGCACGGAGCCCGCCTCTTGGCTCTCCGGGCGCTGCCAGTGCACCAGGTGTCGGTCTCCCTTGTAGCCCGTTCCTTCAGTAAGGACCTTGTGCTCACCTCGCAGAAAAGCTTCTGCTCCTCGGGACCACTTCCTCCAGAGGTCCTCGGCGGTGCCTGCGTCCTCCTCCTCCTCCTCCTCCTCCTCCTCCTCCTCCTCGCGGCTGTGGCACGTCCGCCAGCGCCGGGCTGCCTCACGCGCCTCCTCCTCCTTTTCCTCCTCTTCCTCGTGCTCAGCCCCACGTTCTCCTTCAGCAGCGGCATCGCCCTCCTCGGCCACGGGGCCTTGACTGCGAGGCGGCCGGGCGCTCGCGAGCCAGCCGTCGTCTTCATCGTCCATGTTGGCGCGTGGTCTGGTACTGACGCCATATCTCGCCGCGCGCCGCCAGGCCCAACCCTCAGTCTCCTCCTCGGCCCACACCTTGAGCCCCATCGTGACCAACCTGTGGTCCGCAATCCGGTCACGGTGCGCCACTGCCTCGCCGACAACCACGCCCTGGACCAGGAAGTAGTCATTCCTGGCATCGCTGCTTCCTGCCATCGTGGACGACTGCGGCACTGCAGGCTGCCACTGGCCATCCCCAGTCAAAACGCCGAGGATGCCCTCCGAGGCCCCCACATTCCAGTCGCCGCCGAGCACAGCTGCACCTCCGAGCCCGGCGAGGCACTCCCGCAGACCCAGGAGCAATCCTCGGCGCGCCTGGACCGGGCTGTTGCGCCGGAGATGCACGACCCCCACGTGCAGCATCTGCCTGCCACTGCGCACACGAAAGACCGCAACCTCTCCTCCTATCTCCCTCATCTGCCACAGCCGTTCAGCTCTCCATGTGCCCCTCGTGGCGCACGCGAGGCCGCCGTAATTGTGCCAATCACGGCCATTCTTGCCCTGAGTCTCGTCTAGCACCGTGCCCTCTACGAGGTGCCAGCTCCTCCTTGCAGCCAGCCGCTGCGCCGTGCGCATTCCCTGCCTCGTGAGTTTGTGCTCCTGGACAAACAAGACGTCGGCACCGTGCGCGCCGGCTGCCTGGAAAGCCGCCAGGCCATGCTTAGACCAGCTGGCGACATTGATAGTCCCCAGAAGGACCCCCAGCGTTTCCAGCTCCTCGCTGCGCCCCAGCTGTCCTGCCGTCTCCTGCTGCCCCTCTGCCTCCTCGCCAATTGGCCTCGTGCCTGTCTCCAGCACCTCCTCTGCTGCAATTCGCCTCCTGCTTGTCTCAGGCTCCTCCTCCTCCTCGACCTGCCCCTCTCTTTTCCGCCTCCTGTCTGCGTTTCGCCCCTCCTCCTCCTCCTCCTCCTCCTCCTCGGCCTCCTCTGCTGTCCGTCCTCGGCTCAAGCCTGCGCCCGTCTCCGCCTCAGCAGCGGCCTGGTCCAGTCGTCCGGGCCTTGTCCTTGTGTTTTTGCCTCTTCCTTACGGTTTTCCTCATGACCGTCTCAGGGCGGTCCACCTTGTGCAAACCACAGCGCGCCGCCAGCCACGTCGAGTACTCCGGGCCTCGGCGGTCAGCAACATCTTGCCCAGGGCCCCATACAGCCTTCACCATGGCGCGGCACTTGACCTTGTTGCGTTCCTTCTCCGCCGCCGTGAAGCTCCCAGCGTCGGCTCTGGCTGTGAGCGCTTCGGCGGCCTCGTCAATCTTCCTCCACGCCGCGGTAGTCGGTTGCTGCTCGGCATGCTCAGCCCAGCTCCGTCGCACCAGCGCGCGGTCAACTGCATCAAGGCTTGCCCACCATCGCAACCGGGTCGGTTGCATCCACCTGGGCTTGTCGTTTGCCAGGTCATTCCATGCATGGCAGGGGCCAGCCACGTTGGCGGTCGCATCGCCCCACCAGGCTCCATGGCACTTGCCACAAGTCAGCAAGCGCCGCGTCCAGCCAGTGTGGTTCTTGGCGTTTTCTGTGACCACGTCTCGGATGTTGTGGCCTTTGTGGTCGCGCGTGTCTCCCTCCTCCTCGCGTTTCCTCCTCGCTTCTTCCCGCCGTTTCGCGTGCCGCTTCTTGGCCGCATTGCTTCTCATCTCATGAAACTCCTGCTGCGTCAGCGGCACCTTGCGTCGCACCCTCGGCGGCAGCCTAGCGGGTTTCTTCAGGGAGCCCGCCATCGACCAATCTTCCCCTTGATGCCATCGCTGGAGGTGGCGGCGTCGCTGCAAGACTATCTCTGCGAAGCGAACACTCTCGGTGCTACCTCCACGTGGACGGCCTGGGCGCTGGCAGCGTGCCGGCGGCGAACTGCACCAGCGACATCTTGTTTTGTGACCGGAACACGGACACAGGGGACCCGCCCATGCTCAGCTGCAGCGTCTTCGAGGGTAACTTCAGGATGCTCCCCTCCCCGGAGGGTCATGGGATGGCGGGCAATTCAGTTTTGTGCAAGCTAGATGGCGACGCGGGGCTTTTTGGCATCGTCATGTGGGCCATCCTGTTGGCTCTCGGGGTGAAGCATTTCGGGTTCTTGGTCATGCTCGTCGGCATGGTCCTCTTCTTGAATTTGGTGTGCATGGAGTGCGGGTGCGGCATCATCGTGGTGCTGCTGTTCCTGGGGCTGCTCGCGACGTCCTGCTCCTGCAGGATGGCGCTGCGGACCAGGTGCTGCGAGGAAGGAGGAAGGCGGCGGAGGGAGGCAGGAGGACGCAAGGAGGTTGAGGCGGGAGGCGGAGTGGAGGCAGGAGGAGGGGGCCAGGACATAGCTGCTGCTGGTGCGTCGTGGGGACGGTGCGCCATAAGCGCCCGGTGGGCGGCTGGGGGCCGCCGGGGGCAGTGCCGCGGCCAGGGACGGCAGTGGCGCAGCATCGAGCTCAGGGTCTTGCGGCTTGAGGGCACGCGGGTGAGGCCGCGGAGGAGGCGCGAAGGGCGGGTCTGCCCGCTTGAGCCTGTGCAGGCGCAGGCGCAGGAAAGTCAGGAGAGGACAGGAGAGGAGGGCGATAGCGGATGGGCCGGCACGCCTACCGAGAGCGCCAGATTGGGCGACCACCCGGGCTCGGAGGAGCTGGAGGCGCCCACTGAGGATGAGGAGGGAACCGTTGCCGACCTCCAGACGGCAGTGGTACGCCCTGGAGCCGTGATGGCCAAGGGGCCACGTCGCAAGCGTAAGCTCGATTGGTTGGGCAGGCGGTGTAAGAGGGCTGCCCAGGAGGCGATGCTGGTGGCGGCACGGCGGCTTGCGGCGCAGAGTTGCGACGAGGAGAGGGGAGCGCAAGCCCGCCGCAAGGCGGCGGAGGCAGGAGAGGTACAGGACGGAGGTCGAGATGAGGAAGAGTCTAGAGGAGAGCGCGCCGACTCGGACGGCATGCCGGGTTGGCGCATGACCGACCTGACGTGGGCGCGGGCAGGAGGTGGGCAAGGCGCTTCCAAGGCGCGGGCCCGCCGTCAGGCAGAGCAGAAGGCGCTCCTCCAACAGATGAAGGGGCTAATGAAGGTCCTGCAGACGGCCAGCCTGAGCAGGCCACCGAGGAGGGAGAGGAGGAGGAGGGCGAGAGTGAGGGAGGAGGAAAAGGGAGAGGAGGTCAGGCAAGGAGACTCACTTGACGACCAGATCCAGAAGGCTCTTGGGCAGTTGTCGGACGAGGTCCTCTTGAAGGTCGCGCAGGCGATCGAGCAGAAGAAAAAGGATCAGGAGCGTGGCAGAGGAGGCGGAGGAGCAGGCGCAGGATCAGCAGCTAGGAGGGAGGCAGGTGCGGCAGCGGGCTCAGCCAGGGAGGAGAGAGGTGTAGGTGGCGCAGCAGCCGCAACGACGGCCGAGCAAGGAGGCCAACGGCCAGGCCGCTGGCGGAAGTGGAAGGTCGACGAGCGGAGGTGGGTAGGGGAGCAGGGAAATAAACTCTCCTTTTCCACGACGTCGAAGATGCAGGAGGCACTCAGGGATGGGCTCGAACCGCCAGGAGACGTCGTAGTCACCACTGCTAAGGCGGCGCGGGAGATTCGCTTGCTCGCCGAGGGCCATAATATCCAGAAGCCGATCACGATGGTGATCACGGATGCGGTGGAGGGCGAAAGTGAGGCTGGTGAGTGGCAGGAGGTTGGCGTCAACACCAACGGCGTCCCGGCCACTAAGAAGTTGAAGGTCGTCAAGGTGAACGGCGGCGTGAAGGCGCCAGACCTGCGCCGCAAGGGCCCAGCTGGTCCTGAGGAACTTCCCATGGCGACTCTGCGCGTCATCATCGTCAAACGCCTGCTCGCGGAGGGCCAGTGGGCTAAGGTGAGGTTGAGGCCCGCGGCGTGGGTCACGGCAGAGCTGGATAAAGACTGCGTCATATCCGTGGACCAGTTTTTTGAGGAAGGACACAGCGCCACAGGAGGCAGTGACGTGATCGTCGGGTACCTCAAAGTGCGCCAGGACAAGGTGCAGGACATCGTGGACAAACACACCGGGCAGCGTGGCACCTTCTATGGGCAGCTGGCTCGTGAGAAGCAGGGCCAGGACCTCAACGTGCGCTGGCTCCACAGAGAGGCCGACGAGACCGATCTGGATTACTATCGGAGGGCCCTCTCGGAACTCTCGGCGCCGGAGTCTCGGGGCCTTGCCTACAGGACTGGAGGGAGGAGTTACCTGGGAGTTCGGAGCACGACGGCGCCGAGGACGACAGAGGCGACCTGGAGACTCTTCCGAGTCCCGAGGCATTGGTCAGCGGCTGACCTGACGAAGTGGCTGCGGGATGGTGGCTGGAAGTCGGCCGAAGTCATCGCCCCCCCGTCGGGGCGCCTCGGGTGGCTGGTGAAGGGCTCGCCAGACGTGGACGCCGACTCATGGGTCATCCAGGTTGGTGACAGCAGGACGGAGGTCGAAGTACAGAGGTACGTCAAGCAGGGCCAGGCCAGGTGGACTAAACCGGCCATGCGGAGAGGCTGGAAGTGGAACAGTCACGATCCTGAGGACCCATGGCAGAGGCAGGAGGAGGAGGAAGAGGAAATGGAGGTAGAGGAGCAGACAGCAGCACCAGGCACTGAAGGGCCAGCGGCGGCAGCTCAGGATCAGCAGCCCCATGGCACGCAGGAGGAGGTCAACATGGGAGAGGTTCAGGAGAAGAGGAGGCTTGAGGACGCGGAGGACGAGAAGCTTGAGGGAGATGCGAAGGAGGAGGCGAAAGCTAAGAGAGCCAAGGGCCGGGCCGAGGAGGATAAGGCCATGAGGGAAAGGATCGCAGCTCGAGTGGCTTCACTCGGAGACGGAGCGCAGGGAGGAAGCGGGCGTAGAGGTGCTGCGGCTGCGGCCGTGCAGGCGGCCGCCGTGGCCAAAGGCAAGGGCCAGACCAAAGGAAAGGATGGGAAGGGCAAGGAAGGCACCGGGAGGAGGATGAGCAACGAGAAGTGGGAGATCCTGGACCCAGGCACGAACGGAGGTGATTGTGGCTACAGGGCCATCAGCGGGGGCTGGGCGCTCACAGGAGGCCGGAGGAGTGCCACGAAGGAGGAGGTTACAGAGGACAGGAAATCCGCTGCCTTGGGCAGGACGCTGAGGATCCACATCGGTGAGGTCCTCCGGAAACGCCGCGCTGACTACGAACCGTACTTCGCGGCAAACCGCTTCGACAACAGCGTCACGGAAGACGGGGCTCTGCCGACTACTTGGGAGGAGTACGTAACAGCATGCACCCGGCCCAAACGCTGGATTGATGCGATCGGTCTCCAGGCTGCCGTTGACCACCTCAAGAGGAACCTGCTGATCCTCAACGGGGCGCCTGACGGCGACGACGGCATGAAGTACCAGAAGATTGCGCACATCTACCCAAGAGAAAAGGAGGCGCAACGGGAGGCGGACAAGGCGGAGGCGATCGTGATTGCATATTGGAAGTCGCATTTTTATATCGCACTACCTAAAACGTCGCCGCCTGAACACAGGGTGACGATCAACAAGCGCATCACCACGGATAAGCTCCTCGAGTCAGCATGGAAAATGCCGCGAGGAGGAGGAGGAGGAGGAGGAGGAGGAGGAGGAGGAGGAGGAGGAGGAGGAGGCAGAGGAGGGCGAGGCAGGAGAGGTACTGGCAGGGCAGAGGTCGAGGGACAGGACGCTGCCGACGAGGAGCTGGACGACTGGCTGCCCCCGGTCGTCGCGACACCGCAGAGGTCGGTTGTCGTGACACCGCAGAGGAGCAAGAGGAGGAGGAGGTGCGAGGAGTTTTCGGATGCAGCGGGGAGGGCTTGCGGAGGTGCTGAGCCAGCCAGTGCGTGGAGCACGAGGAGTAGAGGAAGTATGGACTCTTGGATGCCAGGCCCCAGCAGCACGGTGAAGCGTGCCACCCCCGCCAGCGCCAGGAGCGTCGGCACCGTGGACTCTTGGCTGCCGCGGCCGCATTCCGCAGGGAGGAGAGGGGCAGCGTGCGGTGTTGCAGGCGCAACCCCAGAGATGGACACCTGGGTGTGCAAGCTGTGTGATGAAACAGTCACCGCGCCCAAAGGCGCCTCCCGCTATTTGGGGATAAAGAAGAGTGTTCGCTTCGCAGAGATAGTCTTGCAGCGACGCCGCGTTGTCATACATGATGGTGACATCTGTGTGCTCCAGGAGGGAGTGCACGCAGAGAACAGTGTTGTAGGGCTCCACCACTGCCGTGGCGACCTGCGGGCACGCCCACACAGTGAAAGAGCACTTCGTCTTCTTCCCGTAATCCACAGACAAGCGCTCCAGCATCAGGCAACCGAGCCCGGAGCCGGTGCCTCCGCCGACGGCATTGTAGATCATGAAGCCCTGGAGGCCAGTGCAGCTGTCGGCCAACTTCCTGATCCGATCCAGGACGAGGTCGACGATCTCCTTGCCGATAGTGTAGTGGCCTCGCGCGAAGTTGTTCGCGGCGTCCTCCTTGCCGGAGATGAGCTGCTCAGGGTGGAACAGCTGACGGTATGTACCCGTGCGTACTTCATCGACCACAGTGGGCTCTAGGTCGACCATCACACATCGGGGGACGTGCTTGCCCGCGCCAGTCTCGGAGAAGAACGTGTTGAAGGCATCGTCGCCGCCTCCGATCGTCTTATCAGAGGGCATCTGGCCGTCAGGCTGGATACCGTGCTCAAGGCAGAAAAGCTCCCAGCATGCATTGCCAATCTGCACACCCGCCTGCCCAATGTGGATGCAGATCGCCTCACGCATTGTGTTGGATGGGCTTCTTGACCGAGTTGAAGTCTTACAGGGGGTGACAACTCACAAGGCCGTCGCGTGATGTGACAGCCTCGATCGGAATCGCTTGAGCCAAAATGGCGACGGAGGGACGTCTGGGGGCCTGTTGGGGTCCCTTCGCGCTTCTTCGGGGCCTGTTGGGGGTCTCCTGGCAGTCTCGGTGCCTGTCTTGGCGTTCTCTTGGACCCCTTCTGGGGCCGTCTTGGAAGTCTCTGAGGCAATATTGGAGGCTTTCTGGGCTGTCCCTGGGCTCTCTTTGGGCGTCGTCGGGCCCTCTTGGGGGCTTCTGGTCATGTTGAAGCGCTGGGAACTCGAAAGGCGAGGACGTCAAATCTTTCAAAAACATGGGGGGTGGCCGCGAAATCCTCGTCGACCGTGATTTAAAATCCAGGAATGATAAACCTAGGTTCGTTACGTTCAGATGATACCCCCATTGAATTATGGGCCTGTGGATAGATCGGTGGCCCCCCCTTCCCCAGATCATTTTCGTTCCCGAATAATGCATCTGGGGTCGATATTCCTACATAGTGAACCAAAATTGACCCCAGTCCAATATCCTTCTCAGGCGCCCCCCCTTTCCGCCGGATCATTATCATGTCAGAATAATTAACCTAAGTTCACGATTCCCAGAACATTACGAACCCCAGTTTACGATGTTCTAGAGATAACGGACTAAGGTCAATATTGGAACATGATGAATCCACGTTTAGAGGCGCGGGGCTGGGGGAGAAAAATAATGATAATCAGGCCAGCCTTAGAAATCCGGATTCAGATTATCCGCCTGTGGCTCAGGCGACGCCCCTCAGCCTCTATTATTATCATTCCAAAATAATGAACCGGGGTTCGAAATTCCCGAAACATTACTAACCCCAACCAATATTCCCAAAACATTCTGAACCCAAATAAATATCTTTTTGGGGTCGATATGCCCGGAACATTACAAACCACGGTTTCAACTGTTCCGGGGGGAACATTATGAGCCCCGGTCAATATGTCCTGGAACATTAAAACCCAGGTTCATAATGCTCCGGGGGGGACATTATGAACCCTGGCACATAATCCTGGAACATGTTAAACCCAGGCTAATATCCTTTTGGGTTCTTCCTCAAACCATGACTAGTCCGTGTTGAGCTCCCGGATCAAGGCAACTCGTCGGGGCATCGTTTCTGGATGAGCTGGTGGGGTTACGCGAAGCGACAACAACAACAATCATGAGGCAGGCCAAAGCGATAGCACAATTCCCAAGTAAACCGTAAGAAAGGCCCAAAGGAGAGCATGATTCCTGAGTATCGAGGGCGCGGCGTCTGAATATATTGCAAGGAAATCCCATGCGAGAGCGCGACTCCTGCAGAAACTGTGTGGAAGTCCTGCGCGAGAGCTCGATGTTGGAATAAGTTGTGAGAAAGTATCAGGCGTGAGCCGTTGTTGTTGTAGCCGGGGTGCCAACAACACAGTTTGAGCAGTACGGCGTTCCCTGATGAAATATGCACCCGTGGGGGTGATGAACAGTAACTATTGTTCAAGAATGAAGGTACAACAACAACAACAACAACAACAATCATTTTGAGAATGTTCGCTCTTATCTGCTCGCGTGACACTCAGCACGAATATCCCAAACCCTGGATACCCTCCCTTTGTGTCTTCGATCATGCCCCCATAAGGGGTAAATATTTCTTGGTTACCTGCAACGTGTATTTCGTGCAGCCTCTGAGGCATAAGAAGACAGGACGGATGCAAGGAAGGGACAAGGGGCAGGCGGGTTGCTGAAGCGTGCGTCCTGCATGAATCGCAATGTCTCGAGCGATAGCACGATTCCCAAGTAAATCGAATGGCCACAGCGAGAGCGTGATTTCTGAGTGTCGAGAGCGCGGCGTCTGAATAAATTGCGCGGAAATCCCGCGCGAGAACGCGACTCTGGGGCACAAACTGTGAGGAAATCCCGCGCGAGAGCGCGATTTGGGAATAGATTGTGAGGAAGTATCTGACGGGAGCCGTTGTTGTTGTTGTTGATGCTGCTGTTGTTGTAAACCAGGGGCTGTTGTAAACCAGGGGCCGGAGGCCCAGTTTGGTTACACCCAGTTTCCCCTTAGAAAAATAGTGCGGGCCCTGGGAGGAGAAAACGATTTGTCATTTTGAGGAAGATTCAACAATCATTTTAAGACTCTTCGTTCCGATCTGCTCGCGTGCGATTTATCACATTCACCCCAAACCCTCGGTACCCGCCCTCTTAGTTTCCGATCATATCCCCCTTGGGGGTATATCTTCCTTACCTGCCACGCGCATGTAGCGCAGCCCCTAAAACAGGGCAGAGACGACGGATGGAAGGGGAAGGGGAAAGGATGGAGAACGAAAGAAAGTAGGTAGGGAGACTAAGAACAGAAAACACGCAGACCCTAGCGGGCGGGTGGGGAAGGCGGGCCGAAGCGGCCAAGTCGAGCAGGCGGGTTGCTGAAGCGTGAGTCCTGACCCTGTTGATTAAGGGCCTCTTGCATGGGATTACCAACAATGACAAAATAAAATTAACAATGTGCAACCGAAGAAGGGATTGAGGGCGGATCCTTCCCAAAACTCAGCTCTTGTCTCCTTCGACTCCTTTCGAGAAGACACATGTGTTCCTGGATTCTCTCACGAGTTGCGTCCTTGCACGCATGCATCGGCCC